CAGAATATCGTTTTCATTGATAAAAGCCTGGGAATGAGGTCTCATAAGGCAGCTAGCGGCTCGTCTGCGTCTGAGGCTGCCTGCAGGTGAGGGCCTGGTGCACCGCGGCGGTGGCAGATCAATCGGCCCGGGCACAGGGCCCTCTCCCGCTGCTTCTCGCGCCGCGATCCTGGGCTCCGCACCACAGCCTAGCCAGCAGCACTGATTAATGCTCATTTCTGGTTTTCTTCAAAGACTTCCACAATTGCCAATCAGGGCTTCTGACCGGCCGTGATCGTGGTGTGCGGGCCCTGATTTGTGCTGGCCCCACCAAGTGCAAGGCAAGGGCAACTTTCCATTTCTGAGCATGGCCTCCTTTCCCAGAGCTACCAAAACCCGAGCGGCCCCAGACAGGCCTGAGGCAGAGTTTCAGACTCTCCCTTCAGCCTTCCCAACCCCACAAGAGCCCAGAGTTTCCAAGGCAAGAACAACAACGCATCCATCCAAATAAAATTATTACTCTTAATGGATTCCAAATTTGGTTTGCTCCAGGACTGAGTGGTAATCATCAGGAGTAGATATTTTTATTTTATTATTACTATTATTATTCTTATTTTGTATTTTTTAGGGAAGCGTCTAGAGGGTGCTCAGGGTCTCACTACTAGATGGGACTCATAGCAATCCACCTATTTACAGCCTCCCAAGAGCTGGGATTACAGGTGCGCCCCACCACGCCCCGTCTCAATTGCCATCTCAGTGTGACCTGGGGGTGCTGGCACAGCAGGCCTGGGGATCTAGCCCCCGGCCCCTGAGGAGAAGATACTTTTTAAAAAAAAATATTTTTTAATCTTTTATTTATTTATGTACTTAGTACAAGGTCTTACTACACAGCTTGGACTTGTAGTGATCCTCCTGTCTCAGCCACCCCAGTGCTGGGATTACAGGCATGCACCACCATGCCTGGTTTTGGTGGCCAACTTGGCTCAGAGCTAGCATGGCATGCAGTGTGAGGAACTGAATCCAGATTCTTGCATTTGCCAGGCAAGCGCCTAGACCACTGAGCTATCTCCCTGGCCATGAGTAGCTTTAAAACTGTTCCAGAGAACTCCGTTGTAACATTGTTGCTTTGGGTAATCTGCACTTATGCAAGGGATTAAAGAGTTCCTGTGGTTGGGATGCTTAGGCCGCAGAGCGGTCAGGCAGGGCGGACTCTCTCTGAGCTTAGCCCTGCTCACCCTGGGCCTCTCAGACACCTTCAGATCCACCTTCCCCATGGTGCTGCCTTTGGCCCACGCAATGCCTGACCAAGTTTCTTTAGGGTCCACTCTGGTCACTGACATCATCCATTACGGAGCCTGCTGCATTCTCCCCATGTTCACAGGCCAGCAAATCCTAACTCTTAATACCCCAGAGTGTGATAGTGCCTGGTGACAAGACCACGAGAGAGGGTACTCGGGTTAAATGAGGTCAGGAGAGTGCACCTCAGCTGCTGTGGCTGGTGTGTTTCCTAAGAGCAGGCAATGTGGGGCTGGGGGCAGCTCGGCGAGAGTACTTGTTGGCAAATGCAAAGCGTGTCAGTCCCCCGCAGCCCCGGGAGAAAAGAAGCACAAGAAAGAATTTGAGTAGAGAAAGGAGGATGAAGAAGAGGCACAGTACCACCTAGAGCCAAGGGCAGAGGCTCAGAAAACAGGGGACTGCCCATACCTTGATCCAGCACTGAGGGACAACAGATTCCTGCTGTTTAAGCAACCCAGGATTTGGTCCAGTGTCATGGTTGCTCCAAGAGATAAAAGACAAACATCCTTTGTTCAAAGCTGGGTGTCCGCTAGTGTAGGTTGGAGGACAAGATCTCGGAGAGGCAGCCTGGGAAATTCTAGGAAGTACTTCTTAATAATTAATGATGTGTCCTCAGCACAGTTTGGAGTTTGTACTGTGCCTTGTGCTACCTGCATGTGCAAATCAGATGACAACCACCCCTCCAAGCATGGGGCATTACTCTTGTATTATTGCTAGCTTCTTCCAGCTACTTTGTTGAGTCAGTGACATCTTCTACAAAATGTGGCAGAGATCAAATAAGTTGTAAGGAACAAGAGAGTTTTGTCCTGGGCAGTACTAGGAATGGAATCCAGGGTTTTGGCACTGAACAATAAGCATAGCTGTTTTTCTTTTTTTCTTTTCTTTTTTGCAGTAACTGGGGATCACATTGAGGACCTTGGGCTTGCCAGGCAGGCTTATGCTGCTGTGCTATGTCCCTGGTCCTGTTTGTTTGTTTTGAGGCAGTATCTCAGGGAGTCACTGAGTTATCGCAGCTGGGTTCAAACTTGTGATCTTTCTGCCTCAGCCTCCAAGAATCCTAGTTTTATAGGCGTGGTCCACCATGCCCAGCAGAAGAGGAATTTTCTGGGGTCAAAATATCCAAAATGAAGAGGAAGGACTGATTTGGAAGCAGAAAAGTGTCAGAGAAAGGGGCAAGAAAATATGTGTCCGAGACAGGCAAGCACAAGAGGCTGTGGAGAAGCTGCCCTCCTCAGGAGCCGGGTGCCCCCAGCCACAGCACAGGGGCGCTGTCTGGAGTTCTCCTCAGACACCCGGGAGGTGGCGCAGCCTCCATCAATGGCAGCATCTCCTCGGGAAGCTCACAGCCCTCTGCTGCAGGCCCAGTGTCCCTTGGCCAGGAGCCCCAACCCCACCTTCCCCGCCAACCAGCAGCAGCACTAAGGCCAGTGCTATTCCAAGCATGGCCCTAAGTCCTGTCCCACGGTCTCCACCTGGGTGACCTCCTCAGAGGAGCTCAATGCACTCAGACAGAAAACGTTTCTCTTTTTCATCTCCCATCTGCTTCGTGTTATACAGACTGCAAACCACAGTGTATCTCTGTCTGAAGCTCAGAGTTTCCAGGCAGGACACAGTAGCAGTGGCCGGGGCTGTAGCTCCACAGTGGACACCCCAGTCCACAGACCCTTCACATGCACAGCTGACCCAACACTCATGCACATCCTTCCGCTCCGCACCGTGCCACGGTGCCACAACGTTGGCACAACTTTTGTGTGCTGCAGAAACAAAACGGAGACACCACCGGGCTTGCACGATGCTGCGTGAAGTCAGGGAAATGCCTAGGTCTGTACCTGACACGAACAGCAAGGACCGACACAGCACCAATGCAGCATAAGCTTTCTGTAGTTGAGGTATTATACAGAAAAGCACATGATGAAGAATTAGAAAGATGTGCATGAAAGTTACGGGTGAAACATCACCCGGAGACAGAAAATGTGCAGAACGTTCTGCACCAGCTTTACTGGCTAGCGAAGATCGGACACTACGATCACATCATCACTGCTATCATCTCTCCTCCAGGGTTTGAAAACACACCTTGATGTACAGGGGAACAAGAGTCGGGCAGCAGATGACGCACAGCAAAGCGGTGGCAAGGCTTGTAGCATTGGCAATGAGTTGCAGGATCAGAAGTCTGAATTCTTGCCTCTACCTGGGATCCCCTAGGTGGCAGGTGACTCCCAGAATTGTTTGGGCTTCTAAACCAAGGTGCTAATAATTCCTCGGCTTGGTCCATCGGACCATCCTAGGAAGGCCTCTGGGCCACTGAACAGTGCAGGTGCCAAACGTTATGAATCCAAGCTCCGGTGCTTATGTTGGATGTGATTTAAGGCCTGGTTCATGTGAAATTCTCCCCAAAGTTGTCTTTCTCTGGAGAGCTAAAGCAAAGACTGTCATAAAATAATGCATGTCCAGAGCTGTTCCCTGCCTGTGAGCCCCAAGGAGAGCTGGCTCTCGCTTCTGGGGGAAGAAAGAAAAGAAACCCAGAGGGAACATGTGCTCTCTGAATAGCATCAGAGCAGAATAGAATTGCATATTTCTGACTCTAAATCCCGGTGTTCTTCACACGTTCTACACAGTTTCTGCACATCCAGCTCACATCCCTGTAACCCCACTTATGTGACCTTCATATCCTGGGTCCTGGGGTCCTCCCATCTCAGGGGGGATTCCTAAAGAGCTTGGTTGCTACACTCTGAGTGGAAGGTTTCAGGACGCCCTCTGCAGGCAGGAAAAAACCCCTCTGACAGGCTAAATCAAAATCCAGGTCCAAATAGGCCGCCGGAGAGCAGCCCAGGCAGAGTTGCCAATGCCCTCTCCGGGAGGCCCCAGGTTTCCCGGGGCCCAGCGCATGCGTGCCCAGCATCGCATCCCTGGTGGCTGGGCGTTTGGCCCAGGAGGAGTGTAAGGGTTAAGGTGAGCTGTGGAGAAGGCTAGGCACACGCGAGTCTGCTTCCTAGCAGCCTCACTGCTTTGGGCAGATGATGTAAATGCTCTAGGTGGAGCCTCAGACTCCTCTTCTCCCTCAAGTGGAGATGACAGTCACCTGCCTTCTAGCACAGCATGAGTTGAACTAAACTAATGCATGCGGAAAAGCCGTGGCTGAGCCCAACACGGGGATTAGGGAAATGTCTGGGGCCATGACTAGACAGCTACTCTTCTGACATGAAACCGCTTTTTAACCCTAAACTGGGCTTCTTGATTCTGCCATCCCCCAAAACTGGGCACCTAAGGAGCTACTGCTTTCTCTTCTTAGTTTTTAGGCCATTTACATGGTACTCTGAATACAGATTCGAAGGAAACCGGCTTCTTGCTATGAAAGGTCGCCCTTAATTAGCTACTGGCTGAAGAATACACCCCAAGTGGCACGGTAAATTACCCTGTGTTTGAAAACAGGCTGAGCATTTCGCCAACAGCACTTCTAAATCTGGACCCATAAGCCCACGTTGGAAAGTGCAGGCAGTAAGGGCTGCAGGGCTCCCTCTGGCTCCCGCTAAGGAAACCCTTTTGCAGCGAACGCAGGGAGGCATCTCGGGCACTGGTCAGCGCGCTCTCCAGGCTGGACTGCCTTCCTGCTGAGGCGGGAGCACGCGAGTCCCACCCCAGGGGCCCAGGCATCTCTGCTCCACACACAGGGGGCACTGCCCTAGAAGCCTCCAAGTGGCCCAGGGAGGGGGGCGTCCGTCTCTTACCACAAACTCCTCCAAAGTCTGGTAGGTCTGGCCCCGGAACTCGCAGTAGTTCTTGCGCTCCTTGCACTGCGGGCAGCACTGGCTGGTGTCGACGTGGATGCAGCGCGGGTGGAGCCGCGGGCACTCGGGCTGCGCGCACAGCGGCCCCTCCTCGGTGCACAGGCACGGGCAGGCCGAGGGCCCGGGGGCGAACTTCTCCCCGATCGCATACACAAAGCCGCTCTCGTCCACGCAGCCCTTCCCGCGGTAGTCTGGGTACGCGTACTCCTCAGGCAGCTCCGGCGTGGGCGCCGGGTCCGGGCTGAGCGCGTCTTGGGCGGCGGCAGCCAGAGGCTCCCCCTGTGGGGTGTCCCCGCGGGGTCGCCCCTGCCAGTCCCCGGCCTTGGCGCCCCCGCCTTGGGCAGCCCAGGCCTGCTTCTGCTTGCTCCACGCCTCCCGGCCGCTGCCGAGCCCGCGGCCGCCCTTGCCCTTCCAGTCCCGGGCGCCGCCGCCGCCCTCGTCCCTCGCGGCGCGCCCCAGCTCGCTCAGCCGCCCCGGGCCGTCCCGGGACGCGTGCTCGCGCTTCTCCTGGCCCGGCCGCTCGGGGGCCTGGGCCAGCTTCTCCAGCGGGATGCTCGGGCTGCACAGAGCCACCATCAGGCAGCAGGTGACCAGGAGGGAGCTGGAGAGCGCGCCCACTGCCATCGCCTCGGCGCGGGGCAGCCCCTACGGCGTCCCGGCGGGCGAGCGGGCGGGCGGCGCGGGCGAGGGC